CCAGTACCAAAAATAAATAAATAATAAAAACTTTACAAAAAAAGTTAGAAGAAATTTCTTTGCCTTATTTGTGGGTCTAGGAAGCTGTCGCTTGATCTTTGTGAAACTCCAGGCTCATTGGTTTCCTGGCCCTCACAGGGTGAATGAAGATCAGTGCTACCACAGATTTCCCCAGAGGTGCCCCAGCTATGGCTCTGTGTGGTAGTTCTGAGGGTTACACAAGAGAGAAGATGGGTACAGCCTGAAAGCCCCCAAGTTGATGGGGATATGACACCCATTTGAGTCACCAAATCAGGGACTCACTCATAGACCTACTGGAAACCCCAGAATGACAAAGAGCTAAGGCTCCATGCTAGGAGACACAATCTGATGGGAAAGATGAAACCTCCTTCTGGAACAATGATTGGAAAGATTGCCTGGTGTCAGTTGGGCACAAAAGAGCTCCAACCACACATCAACAAGCCCCAGTAGAGGGCAGTTAGGAGGAGAGGGCAAATCAGAGAAGATAACTGGAGCCCAGCAGTGTGGAGCCCCAGTAGGATACATGAAGAGTCGGGGGACACAGGGCTGACCCAGGGCCAGGCCTAGCCCCTGGCCTGTGCGCTGGACCTGAGTGTTTCCCTCCTGCCCTTTTGGCTCTGACCCAAGATGACTTCTGCTTCATTGAGCCCATCTGTCAGAGGCTCATTCACATCTTCCTCTTTTGTTAAGTGGGAGGGCAAAGAGCTAAGAAGTGCAATCACAGAGATCACAGAATCTAAGAGTGTGGAGAGAGGAGAGTGGCCAGGGAGGCTTGGATCCTGTGGATGAGAGGGAAGACTCCAGCCTGCAGAGGTGCTCGGGACCATGGCTGATGCTATCACCTATGCAGACCTGCGGTTTGTGAAGGCACCTCTGAAAAAGATTGTCTCCAGCCAGTTAGGAGAGGGTAAGGGGGGAACATGGGACTCCTCCATCCTGTCTATCCCCTTTCACAACCCACCCTCATCCCACAGACCACACCTGACTTCCACTTTGGTTCTTTTTCTCCCCAGACCCAGAGGCCTATGAGGATGGGGAACTCACCTATGAAAATGTTCAAGTGCCCTCAGTCCCAGGGGGGCCCTCCGGCTTGGCCTCCTCTGGACTAGGGGACAAATCAGGTATGGAGAGCCCTGGGGATGGGTTTATGGGGTTCTCTTGAGCTGGGGAGTCCACAGAAATCTTGGGAGGACAAGGCCTTGGAGAAATGAGGAGGGTGGTTCTTAGAAGAGCCTAGGATAAATGGGAACTAGGGGAAGAAAAGTCTCAGGGGCAAGGTGGAGATCCCAGGGGGTCAAGTGTGTGGGGGGAGGAGGGGAGAGGGTGGCTGATAAGTGCTGGAGGAAGACTCAGGGCAGCCCTGTGGGAGATGGGTTCTGGGGGAAATGGGAGCCGGAGGAGGGAGAGGGAAGAGAGCAATGCGGGGTGGCGGTTGC